CCACCTGTGTATGGCTGCTCCAGGCCTAGCCACCTGTTGTATGGCTGCTCCAGGCCTAGCCACCTGTTGTATGGCTGCTCCAGGCCTAGCCACCTGTTGTATGGCTGCTCCAGGCCTAGCCACCTGTGTATGGCTGCTCCAGGCCTAGCCACCTGTTGTATGGCTGCTCCAGGCCTAGCCACCTGTTGTATGGCTGCTCCAGGCCTAGTCACCTATTGTATGGCTGCTCCAGGCCTAGCCACCTGTTGTATGGCTGCTCCAGGCCTAGTCACCTATTGTATGGCTGCTCCAGGCCTAGCCACCTGTGTATGGCTGCTCCAGGCCTAGCCACCTGTGTATGGCTGCTCCAGGCCCTGCCACCTGTTGTATGGCTGCTCCAGGCCTAGCCACCTGTTGCGTCGTTAAGCCACGCCCAGCAGCCACCTGTGTGCAGCACCGGAAGTGGTTTGTAGGGGGAGAGGGGGGGAGAGGTAGAGGGGACAAGTGACCAGGTGGGGGGAGTGACGGGTCAAGGCTGGGGGAGGGGGGAGGAAGGGAGGGGGGGGAAAGGAAAGGGGGAAGAGGGGGGGGGAATTGATTTTCCAGGGAGACCACAGTTTCCTTGGTTCCCTTGACGTCACTACGGGATCGCCAGAGACACAGAAGGGTGGAAGAGGAACAGGGGCGGAGGAGGAACAGGGGTGGAGGAGGAACAGGGGTGGAGGAGGAACAGGGCGGAGGTGGAACAGGGGTGGAGGTGGGAAGGGGGAGTGGAACTATCAGGGGAAAGTGCCAAGCCATTACGACTGTATAGCACATGGAAGGGGTGAGGATAAGGGTCTGTGATGGGACGGTGGAGAAAGGTATGGTGCCCAACCACTTCTTAGACGGTCGGGGATTGAGCGCCGACCTGCATGAAGTCAGACCGTCGCTCTACCGTCCAGCCCAAGTAGTTGGAGAGGGGGGGGGGGGACGGAAGAGGCATTCGTTGCAATTTTTTTTAATTTTGCGAGATTGACAGAGAGAGAGAAAGAGACAGACAGAGATATTGAAGTCGACCATCTCCTTCTCACCGTCGACCTAAGGTTTAGAGTAAGGCCGGATAAGGTCAGCCCAAGACTGTTACCCTTGTGTACGGATCAACTGGCTCCGTCTCTCACACGCCTCTACCATCTCTGCCCAGCTCTAAGAACTTGCCCCGTCCCACAGAAGACAGCAGGTCCAGTGGAAGTCCACTACAGGAAGAGTCATTCAGTGGTCACTAACTACTGGACCGGTGTCGCTGCTTTCAATTACTGCCCAAAAGCTTGAGACATTGATCTCAGAGCAAACGATAGCATTTGTTTGCTATCATCGGTTAGTGAGCGGCGTCAGTTACTAGATAACTAACTACATTGCACATGTTTTGTTCATTAGACAAGTAACTATATTAGTTATGTGTACACAGTAAGGTGATAAAGTAAGGAGGGATTGTGAGGTTAAGGCGTAAGGTAATGTGGTTGTTGTTGTTGTTAAAGACTCGCTACCTGGAACAAAAGTTCCAAGTAGCACGGGCTATGGTGAGCCCGTAGTGCCTTGGTGATGTGGGACACCAGCTCTTATACCTCGCTGCTTCAGTACAAACACCACTTGTAATGAACCAGAGTCTTAGTTTAACTATAGAGAAGGGAGGAGGGGAAATGTATGGCCAGAGAGGTATAAATAGTCTGTTAGTTCCTGTATTTCTGAACTTCTCTGTCCCCTCACTCGTCCCCTCTCTCACTCGTCCCCTCTCTGGGCTCCACAAACTTACCATATATCAGGGGAGTAATTATGAGGCGTGTTGTAGAGGGGAGTGTAAGAGGTAAAGGGTCAACCACGACAGTTCTGACACCCAACACTAGTCCCATAATATATATATATATATATATATATATATATATATATATATATATATATATATATATATATATATATATATATATATATATATATATGCAACAAGTGTCACAAAAAGTTGGTGTGGGACTACACTGTATATATATATATACAGTTGGTGTAGAACTACAGGTGTGTTTCAACTTTAAGCAACACCTGTCTTGACTTGAGTTCAGTGTTGCACAGCCAGGCAGTGCTGCCAATCACCGGGAAGCAGCCAAGTCGCGAAAATAAAAGAGATCTTGATCACCACTACAATTTTGTCCCCATTGCCTCAGAGACACTTGGTGCCTGGGATAAAAGTGCTACAAGTTTCTTGAAGGTTCTGGGTTCCAAGCTAATTGAAACAACTTGAGACCCAAGAGCCGCCAGTTTCCTCTTCCAGCGCCTTAGTGTGGCGATCCAGAGAGGAAATGTTCACTGCATCCATAGTTCCTGCGCGCCATCTGAGGACCTGGAGGAACTCTACAACCTGTGACAACTAGCCTTGTACCTGCCGGGGATCGAACCCGGGCCCTTAGGACTGCGACCCCAGAGCGCTGTCCACTCAGCCCTGAGGCTCCCCAAAGGGGCTATGTCGCCCCCCCCCCTTGCCGCACTAAAT